GAGGGGGCAGAGGGGCGGCCTGGCCCTGGCCCTGAAGCAGCAGGGGGGAGAGGGGGGAAGGGGAGACGGGGAAAGGGCCTGGCCCGGAAGGTGGTGAGGGTGGGGCTGGATGCAGACCTCTGTCCCCAGCTGCCCCCCCCATCAGTCTTGATGGGGAATTGGGGTGTGTGTGTGTGTGTGTGTGTGTGTGTGTGTGTGTGTGTGTGTGTACATACGTACACACATACGTACATGTGTGTCCCTATATATAATCTATCCATGCCCCCTCTGCTCTAGCAGAGAAAGGTCTGGCAGGGGCTGCCCCCCCCCCGGCAGATCCAGTTGCGGATCCCCAGCCAGGTTTCCCACCCCCTTGTCATCCAGCCCTCACTGCTCTGGCTAGAGAGCAGCGGGACAGGGCCAGCCCTACCCTCTAAAGCAGACAGCATAGCTCAGCCCAAGGCTACAAAGCATCCTGGGATGCTGGGGGACTATGATTTAACTTGAATCAGAAAGGGGTCTGGGACAGAAGTTTCATAAACCAGTTTGACCTAAATCAGTTACGTCTGATACTACATTCAACCAGGTTTATCTTAAATCAGTTTCAAACTTTTGGAACTGCTTTATGTGCACTGAACTTCTGTTCTGTTACAGGTTTAAATCAGTTTCTGATCACTTAAAAACTGGTTTATGTGTAATTATGGTCCCTAACCCAAGGAAACTTCAATTGGCACACAACATCACAGCACATCTCATCAGCCACAGGCTGCCAGGAGCATGAGGCCTATCCTCCATCTCAATACACCTACCCAGAGGATTCTGAACCGAGTTCAAGGTCTAGATCTTGAGACCCTTGTCTGATCCTATGATACTTGTAGGGCCATAAGCTATGGAATAAAGGCCAGGGTCAACAACTAGGTTTCTCTGACATAATGGAAGTCTCTTCAAACATGTAGTCATACACGTGGGAGACAGGACTTTTTCAGCGGCTCATATAATACTTTGGACTATAAATGTTCTGCTAGGAAGATGATGCAACAATAAGCACAATATCAGAATCAATATGAAAGAGAATAGGAGAAAATAACAATTCTAGAATTAATAAGACAACTTTAAAAACACATGGCTACCTAAGTTTCATCTGCCTGTAAGCCTTTTAAAATGTCCCAAGAGCTAAATTCAATAAATATTAGTAATTTTTCATGCTTTTGACCTAGAGAAAACATATTTGGTGACGTAGAGAGTCACCAACGTATGATGTCAGACTACTTTAGGTTGAAAATGATAAAGATTCACCATAAATCTCTGCCAGAGCAATTGCACATCTGATTAGACCCTAACAAAACCAAAGAATTTCCTTTCATAAAATTCATAGTGTTCAGCCCTATAAACCAATAAAGTGATTAAGATATAAAATGCATCATTAGTCTCTCTTTTACAGGAGCTTTATGAACTGAACAAGAAAATCCAAATATACTGACTGAGCATTCACAAGATAGGTTTTTTAAAACTGAAAAATGGAGTGTTATGTTTGTTGTTCAAGTCATCTGACTAAAAATTGTGTCACTATTTTGCATTCTCTACATCTTCTGCCGCCAAAAATAAATTTGTTCTGGAAAAGCATCATATAAGTATCAAACATCTAATAACTAGGCATTATTCAAGATGCAGAAAAGGGAAGAGGGCATTTTCCCATTTTCCTTTGTGTTTATCTACTACAAATTAAAAAATTTCATGATTAAACATTTTCAGGCAGACAGTGCTCTTGAATGTTTATCAAAATGTTTCTAGGTTAATTTTAAAAAAATCAATCTGGTTTGCTTTTATTTTAAGCAATTTTAATTAATTAAAATTATTTAAAAATATTTGTAATTATGACAGCTACATCAATGTCTACACTTACAATTAAAACAATTATTACAATCATTTAATTAGGGATAAGTTAAAGTAAAAATTTCTCTCTCAAATATATTTAATTTAAAAATGTAACTCAAATTTAAAGTTGCTTCTTTTTAAAGAGCATGTAGAGCAGATAAATATCTGTAACAGTCAGGGTCAACACAAGCTTTATAAACATGTCCTAACGTCAGTAGCTATCTGCACTAATCTTTACCACAGAGTGAATGCTGCCATTAGCATTTTCCCAAAAGCAGGGGCTTTTTGTTTCTTTTGTGCAAAATAGTTTTTGCTTTAATTACTTCAGGTTTATGTTCAGGTAGGAAATATAGAGAAGATGCACAAAGTTCATTCAGTCTTGAGAAACCAACTGGGAGCTGAATGAGCATAAAAGCTTGTTTTCTTCTTCCAATCCCTATATAAAACCCAGATGGGAGAGGATGAGATCTTTCAAACCTGGAAACAGTTTCAATGGAAGTTAGGCACCTAACCTGAGCAGGCATTTTTGAGAATCCTACTAGTCACCTAAATACCACTATCTTTGCTATCTGGCCTGTGGTAACTACAGGTAAGCTATCCATTCACTAGCCACAGATAATACTTCCTTTGTTAATAAACGCTTTTAAACTGCAAACGTGTTTTGATACTCTCACATAAGAGAACAGTATGTGGCATATGTAAGGCTGTTTTATCTGTCTCTCTCTTTCTCTCTCTCTCTATATATATGTGCATCTTCTATATAATATAATAAAAGCCTTACCATTTCTGTCTGTCTGTCTGTAACACTCTGGGCCAACTGCGCATGGCCCAGAGCCTTAGGACAGACAGACTGACAGGCAGAGGCAGAGATGGGGAAGGGCTAAGCTGTGCTCCCAGGCCATGCGTGGGGGGTGGTGGTGAGGGGGTGGCACTCCATCCCCGCTGCCTGCCCATATAATCTCCAATTTGTCCACATCCTTTCTGTAGGAGGGAGCCCAAAATTGGACACAGTAGTCCAAATGTGGTCTCGCAAGCACTGAATAGAAGGGAAGAATCACTTCACTTCCCTAGATCTGCTGGCAATGCTCCTACTAACGCAGCCCAATATGCCGTTCACCTTCTTGGCAATAAGGGCACATGGCACAAACACCCCCCCACACACCCAGCCACACTGCGCACACACCCACAAGGCCACACCACTTGCCCACCCAGCCAGCCATATGCCACACACACCTACCCAGCCACATGGCACACACCCCCCCACACCAGACCACCTGCCACACCCACCCAGACACCCGCCACACCCCCACCACACACACGCATCCCGCCCCCTCACTGCACACACCATGCCAGTTGG